TATACATGTATATATATATGTATATATACATGTATATATGTATATATACATGTATATATGTATATATACATGTATATATGTATATATACATGTATATATGTATATATACATGTATATATGTATATATACATGTATATATGTATATATATAAAATAATGTAATCTAATCAAGATTTGAAGTCTCCATGTGATTAAATGAGCTCAAGTCATTAAAAATCAGGTAATTAACCATTTCAACTTGGAGCTTTGTAAATCAGTTAAAAACATACTTTACAAATTAAGGGTTCACAATTTTTTAATATAACATGCAGAAGGTTGATTGATTCTAAAATAATGCACATTAATAATTTATGTAAAATTAAGTAGCCAAGAACAACGTACCTTTGTTTAAACCAATACATATTCTCAATCCGGGGTTTTAAAAATGTACAAATCTTCCACCCAGCCCTTCATACATTGGACCAGCGCTTCCAGTAACTTGTAATTCTTTAAATAATTTGCAGTGACACACACCAGGTCTGCTAGGAATGTCATTGGAGGTAAATATTACTCCGGGTCTCTGCTCCTTTTTAATTTTTTCAAAGGGGCGACATTTCCAATTTTACCTATTTTTTCCAAGTACCGTTTTTAATCATCTGGGAGAAGTTTGTCATGATGTAGTCCACTTTGTTTTGAGCTGCTTTTCAGCGTTATGAAGGAGGATACAGCGGTGACACCACAGACAAACACCAGAGTTTTGTTTTTTTTTCTTTGAGGACTATAAAAATGGTGGTCGAGACGGCAACGCACCCACACGCCCCCAACGCTGTGACATATGTTCCAAAGCTCTATACACTCTTTGGCCAAAAGAAAGTCGCCACCAAAAAAAAGAGGTTCGACACTAATATTTTGTTGGACCACCTTTAGCTTCGATCACCACATGCATTCTCTGTGGCATTGTTTCAGTAAGCTTCTTCAATGTCACAAGATCTATTTCCATCCAGTGTTGCATTAATTTTTCACCAAGATCTTGCATTGATGACTAGACACTAGTCATGATGGGTGCATCACTTCACCTGCCTCTCTTCTTACCCTGATGCACCATCACTCTGGAACAGGGGAAATCTGGACTCATCAGACCACATGACCTTCTTCCATTGCTCCAGAGTCCAATCTTTTTATCTTTTCTAGCAAATTTAAGCTTTTTTTTTCTTCAGTTACCCTCACTGATTAGTGGTTTTCTTAAGGCTACACAGCAGTTTAGTCCCAGTCCCTTGAGTTCCTTCACATCATGCATGTGGAAATGCTCTTACTTTCACTATTAAACAGCCCTGAGTGCTACTGTTGTTGTTCTTCGATTTGATTTCACCAAACGTTTAAGTGATCGCCGATCACGATCATTCAGGAATTTTTCTGGCCACATTTCTTCCTTGAAGACGATGGGTCCCCACTATCCTTCCAGTTTTCAATAATGTGTTGGACAGTTCTTAACACAATTTTAGTAGTTTCTACAATCTCCTCAGATGTTTTCTCTGCTTGATGCCAATGATTTGACCCTTCTCAAACAGACTGACATATTTTCCACGACCACGCATTGTGTCTTTGACATGGTTGTTTAAGAAATGAGAAGCAACTCATTGCACCAGTTGGGGTTAAATAACTTGTTGCCAGCTGAAACATAATTACCCATGCAGCAATTATCCAATAGGAGGCTCGTACGTATTTGCTTAGTTCAATCCAGGTGGCAACTTTTTTTTTTGACCAGGCAGTGTATAATTTAGGTGTGCTTGCAACTTGACTTAAAGCTAAAAAATAAAAGCAGAAGTGATTGTGTACCCTCCTCCCCAGGACCAACACAGCAGTTTAAGGTCAAGATTGGTGCTTTAAGAAATCATCTTTAAACATAAAGATGTTATGTCCCCTTTGAAACTGCAAAACGTTTAGGAATTGCTGCTTGTGTCTCCTATCCACCTTATTCCTCGCCCCCATGCTGCCTTGTGGGAATTGTGGGCGCGACTTCCAATGCGGACCAGAACTTGCATTTATTTATGTGCAAACATTACGAGCAAATGTAGTTTCTTCAACTGTGGATTTAATTTAAACATGTAGGAACACCACCTGTCAGAGCTCAAACAAGACAATTTAATCATACCACTGCCTGCTGAGGACGAGGGATGGAGGTTGACCTGAAGAAGTGGCTGCAGATTACATCTACTAGCACATTTAGCTACATGTACTAGCACATTTAGCTACATCTACTAGCATCTTTAGCTACATCTAACAGATTTAGCTACATCTACTAGCACATTTAGCTACATCTACTAACCTATTTAGCTACATCTACTAGCACATTTAGCTACATCTATGAACATATTTAGCTACATCTACTAGCACATTTAGCTGCATCTACTAACATATTTAGCTACATCTACTAGCATATTTAGCTACATCTACTAGCATATTTAGCTACATCTACTAGCATATTTAGCTACATCTACTAGCATATTTAGCTACAT